TTTGTTACTACATTTCTCTTCTTCTGCACTATTTTAGCAGAACAGCACGAAGACAGACTCAAGGTCACTGTTCACATTGTCCTGTCAGTGACTCACTAGATAAGCTACATGTAACCTACTGCATAGCAGTTCAGTGCTGAAGGTTGAGACTTTAAATCAGTCAGTGGACAGAAAAGGATCAGACCAGACCTCGTTCAGCAGCATTTAAAAGAAGTTGCCTCATGAGCACATAAAATAAAAGCTGAGCCAATGTAAAGCATTGTATTTGAAAGCAATCTGCTGTTTGCATGGAAACACATTCTGTATTATTGTAGCTGTGCTGAAGCTTTTTATCACCACATGTGAATTGTGTGAATCCAGTTTTGCAATATGCATCACATTCAAAAGAATGAGAAAAAGAAAAGAGACTCAGAAGAGAAAGATTTGCACAAATGTTTGCAGCTACACATCAAACATTTGGAGTTACATCAGGTTTACTCACACGCCTGCTCCTCTCTCCCTCAACTTTCTCACTACTGAGAACTGAAGGTGATACGATGCCGGAGGATTTCTCAAGTCACTGTCACCTTCCTCGATAGGTAAGCCTCCCGAGCAATTGAAGGGATGTGACAGCAAACACAAAAGGCAGGAGAAAAGTAGGACATCAGTAATCCTCCATTTGAAATGAATGAGATTTAAGTGTCAGAAAAAAAATTCACCATTCCTGCTCTTGATCTTTTATAACCAACTCACCGTGCTGCGTTTCATGGCGAATTTTATGATGTTATACCATAAAATGAGACTGGAGAGGCAGGGAGATATCTATAAACATTACATTGTGATGGAGATATTTAATCCAAAGCTAATCTGTCATAAAAAATTTGCCAATGGCCAATATCCAACATTGGCTACTGCACTTAAACCAGTTTACCACAGTGGAACAGAAATAGATTTTAGAAAGAAGCACAGCTTTTGCAAAAGACATGAACATGGAACAATATTTATTTAAAGTAGGCAGCCACTTTTTTAAGCACACCTGTTCGACTGCTCAACAGCAACTCGACAGCAAGAACCTACTGACACCATCAGATACAAGCGTTTTAATTTCCTAAGCTGCAAAGCAGACAAGTGGCTTACACTAAACTAATTTCGAAGTTTGAATAACTATGTTTGACAAGGTACTAGCAAGATGCCACAATTTAGATGACAGACACCTTTATTATGTATAACCAAACACCTAGCCGTGCTCCAGCTACAAAAAAGTTGATTACCAGCACGTAAAGCTCAATAACATCACATCAGGGTTGTGCCGCTGGACAATGATGTCAGGGACTGATGATGGTCATTTGCTCTTCACACACTACTCTCCATTTAATCTTTACTTATTATTCATCTTTGACTGTCTTCTGCAGTGTGTCTTTTGTCCTGACGTCCTCACATCACCACCAGCCAGTTACAGCAGACCCTGATAGGCCCCTCCCTGAGCCTATCGGAGATTTCCTTCCTTCCTTTTCCTTCCCACTGTCACCAAGTGATTGCTCAAAGGGCATTGTTTAAATGTTGGCGTTTTCTCTGTATTACTGTAGGGTCTTTACCTTACAATATCAAGCACCTTGAAGTGGCTATTCCTGCTGGTACTACATAAATAAAACCGAATTGAACTTAACTGAATTGATGAAGGTGCCTGTGCAGACAGAAAGGCCCCAGCCAGATAGATCCAGAACACAGGAATCCTCTTATCCCATCATGGAAGTGGCCAGTGTTGTTTCGACAGGTTTGAGAATCAATGATTACGTAGCACTGCAGTTCAGGTCATTTCAGTGGGAAGAAAATGACCGAAGACAGAATCTGTGGGCCCCCTCCCACACTGTTGTTAGTGTTTCCAACCTTGGCGTCAGCAGTTTTGTACTCCTGCGTTGATGCCAGCTTGGAACTGATTCTTGATATTTCATATCAGTATTAAAATTTAAATGGATTCATACTCTGTCATGTGCTCTGTGTGCATAAGAGAAAGAAGTGCTTTCCCCTCTTGCCTCTTGCCATGACACTATACCATATCTCTGCTGTTTTCTGTCACATCTAATAGCCTCAGTTTGTTGACATGTAGGCTCTTATTCGCTGCAAGAGTTTAATACTAAAATGTTTAAGAGAGACTAATGCACAATTAAAAACAAGCGCTGCACACATTTCCTTTTATTTGATGCTATATTCCCCATCAAAAGCATTAATTACTAATTTAACACACATCCAGATTAGTGCTTTGCATCTGCCGATCCACTTAATCAGACACTTGGATCAGTTCTGAGAAAAGCAAAGAGAATAGACGGATGGATGATTCCCTTTAAGTCTTCTATCTGTTGTCACTGATATGCGATTTGCACGTCTTCAGAGAACGTGGTCACCAACACTTCATCCATTCTTAATGCGAAAAAGTCCCCAGGCGCCAGATTGATCACACAGAGCAGCACTCGTATCCTTCCGTGCACACACAGACTATTGCCACAAAGGAGCATCGCTGCCTTCAACAGGAAAACATGGACGTGAAAGCACAAAGAGCATGTTCTGTTCCTTGCGTGACCTTCTCTTTGTCCTCAAAGAGAAGGTCGCACTCTCTCTTTGGAAACACGATAGATGTAGAACAGTCACATCACTCCCGCCGGCCGTCATGGCAGCTGACATTTCACACTCGTGTGGAACTGATTTCACTTTCAGTGGCCCCTCGGTGATGAAATATTTAACATTCTTTTCTATGAAAGCAGACTATATTTCACATATAGCCGGGGATGGTTTATGAAGCCGCTTTTCTGTATGCATGAAGAAAAGAGATTATTAACATTCTGGTGGAGTTTCTGGGCTACATAACAAAAACTTATTTTTCTCGAAGCAAAACAGACCAAATGAGATGGTGCAACATCGGCTTGTTAATGAGCAACATCTTTATAATTGATCCCCCCACCACCACCCACCGCAATCTATTGCTGATTTACTTGCTGATCTTATTATTCTGTTGAAGCTCAGCAGTTCTGATGTAAATCGTGTTAATCTGTTTCCCTTATAAACTTGTCAAAACACTTGACATTAGCAGCCAAAAAGGAGGTTTTAGGAGCAATTTTCTTAAAGTCAAAGCCCTTACTTTTCTCAGCTTTAGCTCTGTCTTTTGATCATTTTTTAAAATATCTTTTGAGTTAGTTTGACAGAACACAAGATAATGTATTTAATACAAACACAAAAATGAAATATAACCTCTGACAGTGAGGACATCCACAGCTCTCCTGTACAAGCCACTAATATCCAGACACACACACAGAACCTGAATGGCCTGCACACGTCACAGCATATCCATATCATATGGGCAGTCCGTTAGCCAGTTACTGGGAGTGGGTGTGAGTGGGTATTTGAGAATTGGAAGCGGTGTAATCTACTGGTTGGTTCAGGCAAGCTGGAAGACCATGAGCAGAATCACATAATCCCTCCTCCTCCTCCCCAGATGGAGGAGAGGAGAGGACCCAGTGCAAGCAGAATGGGGAGGAGGATCGATGATTACAGGGGAGAGAAGTGGAGAGGAAATCAAACAACTAGAGCTTTACAAGGATGATCATTTTGTCCACTCACATACCAAAATAAAAGCTACAGTCACAACAACCAAAAAAATAAAAACCATGAAAGCTTTGTACTTCTCCCAGAAGGACACCCTACTGTGAAAATGATAGAAATGAACTGCAAAATGTCAAACATGCGTGGAAGCCACTGAGTAACTGCATACTTAGTTTTGTTTTTTTTAAGAATAAGATTGATGCACAGAGTGCGGATGTAAAAACAAAACAGTCCCATCAAAGCTGTGCGATCAAGCTTTAAAAACCAGCATTTTATTGCTTTTAATAACACCATATAGTTGCTAAACTGAATTGTCACCATGTTATTAGACATATAGACATTAGACATACAATCGTTGCTCTGGACTTCATACTTTTAGATCTTTGTCATGCAGAATTTGGCCAATCCCATTAAAAGGAAACAACAATAACGCCACAGTAATAATTAATGTAAGTTGCATTGCAGGCTGTAGTACCATAGCTAAAGTCCTCTACTCTGTGCGTTACATAGTTGCAGTTATAATTCCTTCTGGCTGTGATATTCATTGTGCCTCGCAAATCACTTTAGAAATTCCAGACAAAATAAACTTGATGTATTCCCTAAACATCTCAGCTCATCTAATCGTGCCTCAACTCTGACCTGATTTATCCCCTCTGTGTTCTTTTCCTCCATTTAATCCCATGTACCAGGATATGAAATAATGCCTTGTTGTCAGCCACAGGGTGCAGCCCGATCATGGTGCAGCCTGGTCAAAACAATGTTACGTGAAGCAGAGGAAGGCTGGGAGAAAAAAAATAAAAATGTTTTGGTATATACAAGAAGCAAAGTGACCTGAGCCTGAGATTAAGTGGCAGGACTTTTCCGGAGGGTATCTTAACCATGACCATTACCAACTCCAACACTCGTGAGCACCAGCAGCAGCAGCAGCAGTGACTCACCCACTTGCACGAAAGGCCAGTTCATAGGTGCAGAAGTATTTTCAACAAAACCAAGAGAGTCATTTGAGAGACTAGATTTCTCAAAACAACAAAAGAAGAGTCAAAGGATGCGCAGCGGCGAGTTTCGCTTGAGCTGAAGACGTGCATGTGTGTGACAAAACCTTTGTTACCGATGACAAAACAATTAGGCAACTCATTACACGAGACGGCAAAAACGCGTGAAACAAAGCGAGTGACCATTTAACAACGCGGACTAATGAGCAATCAAGTGAGCTTGGCTGCGTTTACTCTTAATGTCTGGCCAAAACCAAGAATCTCAATTTTTTTGATCATCTTTCCAGCAAACTGCTTTAATCACAGCGAGATGCAGACGCTGCCAAAGAAAGATTGTATCTGAAATCAAAATGATGCCAAAGGGAATAATCACAGGGTTAAAAAAGATATATGGCAATAAAAAAAAATCATCATAATATGCAGGAATGTACTTACCTGGGAGATCAGAGAACGTTCCTCTCTCGATGATGTGCTTTCTGTACAGAGTCTTCAAAACCTTGGCGCTGCCGAACCTCTTGAAGCGACTCTTCACATTATTGTAATACCATTCGAGCGACTGCGTCTTCAAAATCCTGTAGGAGCGAAAGGAAACACGACATTGAGTCAAAATGAACAGATGGCAATAAAAGTGGTAGGGTTAAATTTCACTATAATCACAGCAGGATTATAACTTTGAGCTTAAGCCAAAACAATTAAATCTGCATAAGATGAGTATCTTCTAATAATTACAGAGATAGGCAGGCAACCAGACCTTATAGATCAATTAAGAAATGAATGGATGTATTACCCACTAAAGAGTGACGCACACAGGACTGTGGATCTCTGTTTTTGTGGACTTTTCATGTGTTTTAATTTAAAGCAAATTGGCTTTTCAAGGGCTTCTTCCTCTCGTTATGTGTGGGCTGTATAGAAGCTACAAAACCGTTTGAGCAGCACTGTCATGCAGCATCTTAGCAGCGTCTTGTGTGTTTGACAGCAGTGGATGCTTGCGGTTTTCAGATCTGTCGTCACATCATTTTTCAGCCCTTTTCTTATTTCTTGATGCACGGACCAGTGTGGATGCTTGAAGGGCAGCCAGGCAGACCTTAGCAGAGAGCAGATGATTACATAAGCAGTAATTCATAACGGCGAGGGTTATGAAAATCCCTCAGAAAACGCGCTCCCTTTGCGCCAGCGTTGCATTGGATTGCATGAAACTCTGCCAACTTTGTGGTTTATCTTGCAGTCCCTCCTGCTCTCCTCGTGCTTTTCCATGCCACTGTCACTCACATGGGAGGACAAACAAAGACATATTCACTGTTCAAGCAAAGAAAGCCACATAAACGCACTGTATACATCATAGTACACAGTTAGGGCTTGTATGTTTCTGCCTTTGGAACAGTCTTCACAAAACAAATCATCATAAATGACGAACATTTCCTTTGTAATTTGTCTCAACTCAATTTCATTTGTGTGTGTGTGTGTTACAACATTTTGTGCACAAAAAACAGATACATTAAAAGCCTGTGGTACATAATAATTGATTAATTATGCTTTGACAACACCAAATCAGCAGTGGAAAATATCCCCCAACAAAAGTTCAATAGTCTGCTTTTTTATCTTTAATATGAATGAACAGGCTTCAGGTCTGCGGGCACACAGTTCTCTGTGCAAATATGACACCATGCTGCACATATCGTTGGCTCTATTTCCCATATTATGAAAGAGCAAAGTGAGAGAGCTCAAACAGACATGACAGAGTTCTTTAATGCGCGCGCATGTTGGTGCTTCTGCTCAATGAGTGGACTGGTTGGGAAAAGGGAGGGCGAAAATAGCTATTCTAATAAAGGGATGTGGTGTGTCCCTGAGGCTACATGGTCTGCCACATCCATCCCCTCCTCCCTCCTTTTTAACCTCCCTCCGCTGGATTTATTATCCTCTGCCTCTATCAGCTGGGCTGCTCAATGGGCCTCAGCTCCTTAATTTCATGCCACGGGGTCAACCCAGTCAATTTAACGGTGGCTACCGAGCTCAAGTAAAAAGGCCTGGCTCTTTTTCATCTCCATATGGGCTCGGGGAAGGCGGTACAAACATGAATCTGCGAGTGCAACGCAGTTATGAGCTGGCGTCATATGAGGGAGCACTACAAATAGGGTCCATTTCTGAAATGAGCTGGTGCATCGGGGGCAATCTTTAAAGTGAAGGAAATACTGAAGGAAATGAAAGTGCTGCAAAGCAATGGTGAAATGAAGTTGTATGCCTGAGTAGCATCTATGTATAGAGCAAAATGAAAATAAGTATCACTGCCTGTCTGCTAAACCCCATGGCCATTTGGAATTTGTCACTACTGCTATGCCCTACTTTCTTAAAAGCCACAGTACTACCTGGAAATGTGGATTTTCTTTCTGAAATTATGACTGTTTAACACACTAATAGTTTCCACCATAGTCAGTTAAACTTGTGGTTAATTAGAGTATGCTGCCTCTGGCTTTCTTTAAAAAAAATCTGTCCCCTTTCAAAACATCTTCAAAAAGGCATACCGAAAGTGCACCAAGGATATTGACACCAGACCAATAAGACTAACACTGATCATCTCAGAGTGAAATTATTCTCTGGGAGAACGTTGATGCTGTCAATTGTAGATATTACTTGGACACATAAAATCCACATAAACTTTGTTGCAGACCAACAACAATAGAACTCCTTGGCAACACTTTGTTGCATTGTTGATCCATTCAAAGAGTCCAAATCTTTGACCCAGACTTTAATCCAACCAAGCACTGCAATAAGTCTATGAAAATCCCATCCATGGACTGAGACCCAAAGGATCCAGTGCCGATGTCATATTAAATGTTTAAACTCATAAATGTTACTATTTCATTAAAAAATATATGCTAATTTAACATTTTATATGAGCAACACATCTCAAAAATGTTTGGAAGTAGGTTAAGTAAGTGGTACTAAAAAGAAAACAGCTGGAGGAACATTTTGCAACTAATTCAATTAATTCAGCAACAGGTCAGCAACATAACTGGAGGTCTTGATGCATTCTCAATCATCCAGGTAAGCAAATCTCCAAAGGTTGATTCTGTTCATCTAGACGTAGCGAGAAACGTTTCTCCCACTGAAAACGCTACGTCCAGATGAGCAGAATCAACCTTTTGAGAACATGATTGGATATAAAAAAGTGCATCTTAGAGAGGCAAAGACTGTCTGAAATAAAAATGGGTTCACTACTCTGGAAAAAACAGCATTTGTCTCACAATGTGAAATAGCAAAGAATATCTCATCATTTATAGCAAATCTCTGTGTGCAAGATTCTGAATGCTATGCAGTGCTAAACTTGCCCGGTTTGACGTGTAGCTGCCATCAAATTCAAAATTAGATTTTTCTTGAAATTTCAAATGTTCTCAATTTAAACATTTTATATGTTTTCTATGGTCTGTTATGAGAGTTGGGGTTAAATGTGGCTTTATGAGATTTATAAGTTATTGGTTTACATTGTAGACAGCATCCTAACTTATTTAGAATTGGGGTTGTATGTTATATATACATATATATTGCCTCACAGTGGCCCAGAGCTTTCACTCCTTGGTTTGCCAGTCTCACTGGCACAAAAAACAGATGACCAGTAAATGCAATCCCCAGCTTAGACATCTGCTTCGTTCCATACCAGTGACACAAACTTTTTATAGTCAAGCGCTCCCTTTAAAAAAAGACAGATGGATTAAGGACAGAGGGAGAGGCGTCTTGATGAATGAAGCATGACATTGCTTCCCTGGAGTGATCTGATCTAAAAAGAAGATGAAGAAGGGAGCAGAGTAGAGTGGATAAGCAGAGGCTTTCAAGCAAGAGCTCCACTGTTGTGTGAGCTTCTGCAAATACTCATACGCACTTTAATAATGAGGCTAAGAGATTCCCTGAAGCTCAGCTGCTGCATGAATAAGAGGGATTCCTGTGGTCTCCTGACGCTAGGTTTACCCTTCCGTCATCATCACTTTGCTCAACTCCCTGCCGAAGCTTTGGAACCAGCGCTTCATTTCTTAAAAGGGCTTCTTCTCTACCCCGTTTGCCCTCTGTACTTCAGAAACCAATTTGCACATCTAAGTGAATCCTAAATAAAATATATATAACAGTACGTCAAAGAAGTGCAATAAGAGTAGCTGGATTTGCTGACTTCCCACCTCCCCCAGAAAAGGGAAACTATTATCATAATTGACTTTCTGTGCCTTCTAATTAGTTGGTTCAGCTTCTGTTGAAGTCACTGTAGAGGCAACGGAAGGAGAAGGGAAGGTGGGGGTTGACTATTGCAGCACATCAAACAAACCACATTCCCTTCTGAAGGCACGCGGCGTGATTGATCTTGTTAATGTAAGACGAAAAGATGAAAAATGAGATTGTATTCAGCTCCAGGTTTAGATCAAAGTGTCTGATGCAGGGGAGGTTAAAGCTCCCAGGTTGTGAGGTCTGAGACAAAAGCTCAATGACTTATTCCATACAGTACAATCCTGTTTTCGTTCCACAAACTCAATAACTCATTTTTTGCCTCATAAAATTTTGAAGTAGTCTACACTAAGTTTTCCATTCTCTAGTTGCATAGGCAGCAGCCTAAGCATAGAAGCCCAGACCTCGATTGACATTTGTCAGTGTATTACTTGTGCCCTCTCCAAAGGAATGTTAGGTCACCCAAGGGCCCCAACAGCAACCCTAGAGGCTGTCAAGATACAACATTTAGCTCAGTGACATTTTTGGATATTGCAAGCTATGGTGAAGAATCAAAGCTTGATTAGGGAGAGAATTTAACTGTAATTTATGATATGAGCACCAGGAGAAAACGGTCCCAACAAGAATGAATGTGTTTCATCTGCATCTTTTGCTGCTTCTACAGTGGTGTGCTTGTGCAGATTAGATTTGTCCAGGAGGACGAAGTGGGAATGAGAGATTGATTTAACATGCACACTGTAAACTGTGGAAATAAAACCAGGACAAGAGGGAAATATATACCATATGATTTAATATATGATTTAATTTCTTTGTGTGTTTATTAATAATAAACACACAAAATATACTGGCAAGAATAGTCATTCATTTAGCAGTTTACTTCATGCTCTTTACATAATGTCAGTAATATGGGATGTCTTGAATATCATCTCAGACACTCAGGCCCACCTCCTTTTCAAAACCTTCTCTTTGTTAGGGGCAGCCAATTAGAAGAAAGGTGGCTTAGAGGGAGGGTGGCTTTAAAGTAAATGAAATGAGGGGCAGCAGTGCCAGTATTTATTACCGCTCACTAAAGTGAAAGATTAAGAACATTAATAATTAATAATATATGGAACTGGAAAGAATCATAATAGTTGAAACCTAAATCTATTTTAGTATTCAGGTCCCTGTACTTTTTATCTGTGTTTTAAGGAATATAGCCGGTCATGCGCACAGGTTTTATGACACAAAGCTGAGAAAAATGCTGATTATTTTACATTATACTTTGTATATATGCAATGCATTGTAAAATAATTGGCACCGTTTTCAGCTTGGTGTTAATAGCAATGCTGTCTGTTTCACTATATCACAGCACTAAAGACATGCTACTAAA